TGATTCAAAGTTTATCAATATAATATTTTCAAACTAGTAAGAGTTAAAATATTCCATTCTCTTCATTCTATTTCAAAATGTATTGACGAGGTTTCTGATAAATCTGGGGGTGACAGATAAAGCTAACTTTATCAGGCATGCACTTTATCAACAGAAATCAATGAAATGACATGATAATTACTTTCATATAACTTCAGAATGGTTTATAATTATTTTAAGATGTTTAGCATAAAGAAGTAATTGGTGCTTATGTAGCCAAGGAGCGTATGGTACATGCGCCACTCGCTTTAAGGCAATTTATTGCCATGTTTATTTCATACAAACATTTTGGAAGAATTCTTTTTTAAAATCCGAATTATAATTTTTGTATGAGATATATAGCTTTATACACTTTAATATTACTTTAAATCTTGCCAGTGAGGAAATGGCCAAAGCTACGTTATGGAAGGATGTCAGGTTCTACTTGTATACCATTAAGTTACTGAAATAATAGCATCTTCTTCCACCAGTCAAACTGGAAAGTTTTAAAACTATGAATTGATCCTTTATCACATACCTGAGTCACATTTCCAACTTCAAAAAATAGTTTTATATGAACTGATGAAGCTTATTGAAGCGAAATATGTTTTGATACATTGTGTTGGCTTTTGATCATTTAATCCTAAAAACTATGAATACAAATAATGGCATGTAGAACATACAAGATATATATATCTAATAATTTTTTGGGTTTGCCCCAAAGATCAGCCTTCTAGTATCAATGACCCTAAAATTTTATGAAATTTGCATTTCTAAAGGGCAGATAACCCTGAAAGACATCTTTGCTTAGTTATTTCTTTTTTTTTTCAACAGAAATATTGCCTTTCCCTCAAAAACTGTCGAAGGTATTTACCTCAAACTTTAAAAATGCGTTGGCTATCAAAGACAGGTAAGTCTGCTAAGCGTGTTTGCAGGATTATGTCCCTGTTTTTATGTTGCTTTAATTAAGAATCCAGCAGTGAGATAAGTGAAGCGTGCTGTCTGCAGACATGTCTTGTTGTATTTTGATCTTGATTGAATTCCCTTACACATAAGGGAATGGACTGTTCCAAATTCAAAGCAGGGCAAGCCCATTTCACAAATTAAGCAGACCAACAGTTGGTTATTGTAATATATTAGCAAGGGGAGTTCCTATGTAATAAAATTGTATATATGTGCACTCATTATATTGATACAAAGCAGAAAGGAACAGTAATAGAGGATATTGAATGAGTGTAAGTTTCATTCTGAAATTATTGAACGAGTTGAATAAAAATATAATATGCGAGCCTCTGGCAAGCATGACATTAAAAAAAAAAATATTCAAGAGTTCAATAAATTTAGTAATAAACTTACAGTACACAAATTTAATATTCTATTTATCACATACTGAAAATAAAGATTGATAGAAGTGAAAAAGAACCCTTTTTTCTTTGGTGCGCCTTAACGCTATGTTTATATAATGAAAATGACGTCACGTTAAAATATATGCACAGCTGTGCAATACCTTTTTTAAAGAGTTGCAAAGTGACTTGGGTAATGTGAAAAAAAAGCACTACAATATGAGATTTTCTCATGCTTGTGATTTTCATTATTCCGATGTGCTTTCCTGGTATGTGGTGCACGAGTAGTATTTTAAACTTCAAAATACACATTTTTAATAAAAATAACACTAAATTATGATTTGAACCTACATCCTTCAATATCAAACTAAGTCTTAACTCCTTATCACTGAGGTTATTTTGGCATGTGCTGTTTCGGTAACTTTAACCCTTTCCCTCGTGAGCATATTGTGAAAAATGGCCGTTTTCACTGAAAAGCCTCCTGTTACAAGTTCAAACTTTATTTCAAAGTGCTGCAACTTCTCAAGGAATTGAGATAGAGTCAAAGGCTTTTCAACGTTATGTCATGAGTGGCGGTAGCCACGACTGAAATATGATATTTTTCATACCACAAGATGAAAATAAATTCTGTATTTGTAGGAAAACTTGAATTTTCCGTTTATTATATACATTTTCACTTATTTGATATATTCAAATGTCTCATGCTAATATTGCCAAACAATACACTAAGAAATTATAAACAAAATAAAAGGCGTGTTGGCATTATGGTTCAGAGGTTCATATCACAACCAAAGTATATTGGGTTCAAGCTTCATGTAAATCCTGTAAGATGACTCGTGAATATTTGAATAAGCTACATGTTTTTCCACAATCAAGCTTTTAATGAACAGTAATAACTCGGTTTGCAGGCTTGACTATTCACTTACATTTTTTTTTTTAAAAATTAAATCAGAGATTCATGTTTTCTCAAATTATTATAAAAGAAAAGGAGTCGTATATTTGACAATAAATCAATCACCTAAGGCACATGGAACCATTTCATGACATTATCAAAACAGTTTGCAAGGATGGGGTGTACGCAAGTCAAGGAAATTACATATTGTCAAATAATCCTTTTGAATTTACTATATACCATTGTTTCCCATAAAATTTCAGTGAAGAAAAACCGGATGTAGAACAACACGTCAAGAACACTACAGTTAAGTTTTAAGTAACTTCAATTTTTTTACGGTTTTGGCCAATCACTGACCTTCATCAGGATAATACAAAATGAACAAAATATGTTTGTAAAACATGTATACCCCCTATCGGCAGCCAATTAGTCATGTGATCAAGTTATTATGACAGACTTTTGTCCTAGTGACCAAAAGATCAATTAGGGTTAATCACTGGTCATGACTAGTCACTAGGTAATTGTGATGCAAAGGTTGTGTGCAGCAATTTTATAACAAATTATTACAAATCTTACCAAATAATATATGCGTAAATTATATGAATCATGTAGGCCTCACTTATGACAGCCAAGTTGTTACATTACACAAGACCTTGAAATGTGTATACCAAAAGGATTTTTAGTTTAATAAAAAAAATCAACCAAGGCAACTTGAGTTGTTGAGTTATTGGCCAGACAGAGTCTTACATACAAGGTCAATATGACATTGACCTTTGGCCATTAAATCAATAGCGGTTATCTCCTGGCCAAGACCAATGCACCTGTGAAGTTTGTGCGTAACGGGCCCATGAGTTGAGATATTGATCAGAAAGCGTTGTTACCTTTAAGGTCAATGTGATTCTGACCTCTGACCCCTTAACGCCAAAAATCCATTGAGGTCATCTTCTGACCAAAAGCAATTCATCTGTAAAGTTTGTTTGTTTGTTTCATTTTACGCCTTTTCCCAACAGTATTTCAGTCATATAGGCGGGTAGTTGTCTAACCATCGTTCCTGGTGAGTTACACCAGTGCTAGACTACCTTCCTCCGCGCTAAACTACCAAAGCATCTCCCGGGGATATTGAAGGTCAAGGGTGCATGGGTTGTCCAGTTATTGATAGAAAACCATTTTAAAATACAAGGTCAATGTAACCTTGACCTTTTACCCCCTGACCCCAAAATCAATAGGGGTCATCTACTGGCCAAGACCAATGCACATACAAAATTCGAGCTTGTCAAGTTATTAATCCGAAACCATTTTTACCTACAAGATCACTGCAACCTTGATCTTTGATCCCTTGACGCCAAAATCAATATGGGTCATCTGCTGGTTGTGAACAATCATCACACCAAGTTTGAAGTACCTAGGCCTAAGCGTTCTTTAGTTATTGATCAGAAACCGTTTTTACCTACAAGGTCAATGTAGCCTTGACCTTTGACACCTTGACCCAAAAATCAATAGGGGTCATCTGCTGGTCAAGTACAATCATCATACCAAGTTTGAAGTTTCTAGGCCTAAGTGTTCTTTAGCTATCACTCGGAAACCGTTTTTACCTACAAGGTCAATGTCACTTTATTATGTGACCTTGACCCCATAAACAATAGGGGTCATACGCTGGTCATGAACAATCATCATACCAATTGCAAGTTTGAAGTTTCTAGGCCTAAGCGTTCTTAAGTTATCGATCGGAAACCATTCGGTCTACGGACCAACCGACACATAAATGCAAACCACTTCTTTGAAGGGGTGCATAATTACTTAATTGGAACCTAAAGTATACAAAAAGTGGACTTAATGTCATGTGATTTTACTATATTTGGAAAATTAGTTTAGCATATTTCCTGCAAAATGGTACACATGTCTCTATGCACATTGAACTTTTTTTGGAACTTATCAAATACATAAATTGAAACTGTCAATGAGCAGTTGGTATTAGGCAGTGAACAGTAGGCTGTCGTTTGAGGAATTCTGTAATTTATCAATTAATCTTGTCCTCGTCAGTCGTCAGTGTCGTCAAGTGGTAAGTTTTCTTGCTATTGAATTGTCGACTGTTATGAGTGAGAAGGCCTGTGAGTAGTGAGTAGGTCCTTGAATGAGTGAGAAGGTTGGTGATTGAGTTAATGAGCGAGAATGTTGGTCAGTGAGTCGGTAAAAGAAAAGATTAACCAGTGGTGAAATCAAAATGACGCATAAACTTGTGATATGACTTCAATATTTTGACAAACTGTGACATTGACATTTAACCTGTAAATGGGTTTGGCAAAGTGCATCTACAAACAAAGTTTGAAAATCGTTAGTCAATGCACTTTAATTTACCAGCCAGTTTTGTTTTTATACATTTTCAACCTATCACCAAAGGCTGAAATAAGGCCCCATTTTTGTTTTGACATGTGCAAACATCTTTTTTTCCACAAGCGGCCAAAAAGTTTTTACTTGAAAGAAAATCTGAACTGTTTTTACTTATTATACACATGTTATAAACTTTAAGTCATGTATTTGGACCTTTTTTGTTAACTCTTTTTAAAGTCTCAAATTTCCCAACATGTCAAATATTTTTTCCCAATTTATGTCAGTAGCCTTTTCCCAAAAATAGCTAGAAAAACACCTTTTATGTTATATTTCTCAATAACAATAAAACTATGTCCTTATAGGCACCTAATTGATCTGAATTTTTCATGTAAATCATAACAAAAATAAATATAACAAAATTCTTATAATGAAAACATTGAAGTATATTATCAACTATTGCACCATTTGTTTTTTCAATATAATATCATATTGTAAAATAAATGAGAATCATAATTATAAAAACGAATTGTTAATTAAGTCACAAAGACAATTTCTGTGCCAGAGTTATTGCCCCTGACACTTTTATTTTCTCCATGAAGACAAACGTCTGTTGCATATTCTGAACCTATCATGCATATGAACACACAAGTTTTTCCTGCAGTATTTTTTGCTATATCAACAGCAGTTTTGAATTTCAGCGTCATCCCTCCGGTCACATCCGTACCTTCGTTGGTCATCAATATATCACCATGTTCTTGTCCTGAATCACTCATCTTGTTACCATGGTTACCAACTTTTACAGTGTGCAGTAATTTCGCTTCTGAAACAAAAAATATAGGCATTTATATTTGAGAGTGAAAGCTGGCACGATCTTTCCCATTTAACAAGGGTTTTATCACATGTTGGCCTTTATTCCTCACATTATAGGTTATTAAAATTCCAGGTTATATTTAAAACAATCATTTATATACATATGGTCATATAACCTCTCATGAATCTTTATAACAAATTTGTAAAAAGCAAACTTCCTTAATAAGAGGGGAAAAAATCATGAATTGACATAATCATAGTATATAGTTTATAAAAACATTACAATTATCCAATGAAAACATATGTTACAAACAAGCAGTATTTGAAGACTTAATGTCAAAGTGAGTACAAGGTTCCCAATGGTCTGACAAACTTTATTTTATGGCCATGCTCAGCAAGTATCGTACATTGGTAGAGCACAACTGATCTATAAATTCTGCCATTCAATTTCAGGGAAAAAATCTTTTATACTAGTCCCCACATAAATCTATGTCACTGAAGTGACATGGCTATTTTTGACTCCAGGTGCATTAGCTACTTGGATTTTGTGTGACCAGAGGGGTATGATTGATATAAATTTGTAAAGGATTTATAAAGAATACCAGCCAGACAACTTAAGGCTCTGGACCACTAAGTTTTAACTTATATTATGTTACTGATTGTATGATAAAGCACCTGCAATCAAGTCTTCTTCCATGATTCTTGATTTATTCCTGACATATTGCAGTTTTCATTTTCTAAGCCTGGCTTTCAAATAAATGACCTCAATGATGGTACATGTTTTAATTGACAATATAAATTTCCAGCCTTTCTAAAATATTGGCAATAAACAAGTACTGCATGTACAAAATGGCAATATTTAACAAGAGCTATGGTTAATCCCCTCGCCAGAAAGAAGCTCATTTAAAATAAAAATAGTAATAGACTATACACAACAACATAAAAGAAATAGTAAAATTAGGTTTTTAGTATCTTGCCTTTAGAAAAAAAAATTTGAAAATGATGAAAAAAAAACCACATTAGAATTGAAAAGCATTTACTTATTAAAGACGGGAAACTCTTGTAAGAGTTAAATCAGTAAAAAGCATACCAGAATTATCTGCTGGTGGACAATCGTAAACACCTTTAACACTGGTCAAGAAAACTACTCGGTTGACAATGAACACTTCTGAAAATGTCTGTAAAAACATAAAATATAGAATATTGAGTACTTCCCTTACCTATTATTAATTAATATGCAATTCTGCATATTTACTACATAGCACAATTGAACATATAAGATTTCTACCAACAAAAACAACTCATCAGTATACAACCAGACTTAATACTTACTACTGCTTTGTCTTATTCATGATTTTGACATTTAACTTATTGAAATTCTTCAAATTTACAATGGGCAGTTTCAATTTTGAGCAAGGGGAAGTTTGTTATGTAATGATTAGTATGCATCAAACACTCTTAAATATTTTGTAACATGGGAATTATTTACTGCATACTTCTTGTACAGTATCATTGTAAAAATTTATGGGAGATCCCACACAAGCAATGAGCATAAAAACTTGAAGTTGAAAATCTTTGACTAAGAGCACTTTTGGTTAGCTCAATAGGTAGAGTGTTAGACTGTGAATCGGACGAACTGGGTTCAATTCCCATACGGTGTAGGTCACTTTCGATGTGATTAATCATGAAATCGTTTCTATGGTCATTTGCACTTGACCTCTCCTCTAGCATGTACGAAAGGTATAAGTTCCTTGCGAAAGTAGAGGATTTAATTTTTTTCCCATGCCCCACATAAGGTGACCCCATTTATTCGCTCCTTTATATAACCATTTGTGAGACGAAGCACATCACACATTGGTTTTACAAATTATTTCTTTTATCAAGCAAAGGAACAGAGTATATTAGACGTGAAACTAATATAGTGAAGAAAAACAAGAGGGGCTCGCTCACCTGAGAAATAGGTCAAAAGGTCAAACTGGAGCCCCGTTTCACCCGAAAAGCACAATTTGAAAACATGGGGCAGTTTAATCTGAGCAATTTTGTGTAATGTCACCATGGAAATTTTTGTGTAAATTTATTTCAAAATTGAAGCAGTAGTTTAGATGTTGTTGTTTTCTAACTTTAGCTGTGGCCGCCATATAATTAAATAGTTCAGCCTGTCACTAAGTTAGAGGTGAGCTAATAAAAAAGATGACAGAAAAAGAGAAGGAAAACAAACATTGACCTGGCTGGGGATTGAACTGTCGACTTCGATTCCCTTGGGCCAGGTTAATTTTTACCCTAGGGCTATTATTTCAACAAACATGGTAGACATCCACTAGAAGATGTTTCATGCCAAATATCTTAGCTTTAGTGCTTTTGGATTTTCAGAAGATTTTTTAAAGTTTTTTACTATACACTGATAAGGGTAAATGACCCCCGGGGCAGGGCCAATTTCGACCCTAGGGCTTTTATTTGAACAAACTTGTTAGACATACACAAGAAGATGTTTCATGCCTAATGTCTAAGCTCTACCTCTTTTGGATGTTCACAAGAAGATTTTTTAAGTTTTCACTATATACATGTAAGGAAAATCAATGACCCCCGGGGCAGGGCCAATTTGGACCCCAGGGCTTTTATTTGAACAAACTTGCTAGACATCCACTAGAAGATGTTTCATGCCAAATATGTAAGCTTTAGCTCTTACGGTTTTTTACAATAATTTTTTTTTTAATTTTCACTATATACAAATTAGGAAAATCAATGACCCCCGGGTAGGGGCCAATTTTGACCCTAGGGCTTTTATTTGAACAAACTTGGTAGGCTTCACTAGAAGATGTTTCATGCCAAATATCTAAGCTCTAGCTCTTTTGGTTTTTTACAAGAATTTTTTTTAAGTTTTCACTATCTACATATAAGGAAAATCAATGACCCACGGGGCAGGGCTAATTTTGAAACCTAGGGCTATTATTTGACTACACTTGGTAGACATCTACTTGAAGATGTTTCATGCCAAATATCTAAGCGATAGCTCTTTCAGTTTTTTACAAGAGCATTTTTTAACTTTTCACTTTAAACATATAAGGAAAATCAATGACCCATGGGGCGAGGCCAATTTCGACCCTAATGCTACTATTTGAACAAACTTAGTAGACATTCACTAGATGTTTCATGCCAAACATCTAAGCTCTAGCTCATGTGGTTTTTAACAAGAAGATTTTTTAAGATTTTTGTAAAAAAAAATCTTTTGGTAACCCAGGTACGTATATTAACATACGTACCTGGGTAACCAGAGTTCTTTATGGAATTTAATTCTTTGAACAACTTTGGTAGAGCTTTATGCAAGGAACATCCCTGCACAGTTTCAACAAATTTGGCCAAGTGGTTTAGGAGGAGTAGTTATGTAAAGAAATTGTTGACGGACGGACGATTGACGACGGACAACGGGCAATCACAATAGGTCACCTTGAGGACATTGTCCTCAGGTGAGCTAAAAAGTCTATTATCACAAAAGACAAACAAAAATAAAACAAACAAACAGTAAGAGACAAGGCAATTAACACCGGTAGCCTGCCCAGGAGCGATGCAGTGGCTGAACTGTGCAATGGTAAATTCAACTAGAAATGTGTCCATAGGACACGGGTGCCCCCACACTCAACCAATTTGTCAATCTTATGTCTCTAGGTCAAATATTTTTTTTGGCTACATGTGCCCAAGTTGAAAACTAAAATCTTTTATTAAGAAAAGGGCAAATACTACAAATACTGAAGAAAGCCACAAGAAAACCCCAAGGTGCATAAGGACACATGCTGACCAACATTCTTGTAAACTTTCAGGCCTACAGGTCATAAACTTTTTGAGTTACATGCAACACAAGTTGCTGATCAACATTTCTGTATGTTTCATGACTCTAGGTCAAATATTTTTTGAGTTATGTGCAACACAAGTTGAAAATTGGAAATTCTTACTAAGTCAAGGGCAATAACTCTAAAAATACTAAATATATCCACATGAAAATACCCAGGTGCACAACTTCACATGCTGATCAACATTCCTGTAAGGTTTCATGACTCTAGGTCAAATATTTTTTGAGTTATGTGCGACACAAGTTGAAAATTGGAAATTTTTACTAAGTCAAGGGCAATAACTCTAAAAATACTAAATATATCCACATGAAAATACCCAGGTGCATAACTTCACATGCTGATCAACATTCCTGTCAGGTTTCTTGACTCTAGGTCAAATATTTTTTGAGTTATGTGCGATGCAAGTTGAAAATTGCAAATTTTTACTAAGTCAAGGGCAATAACTCTAAAAATACTAAATATATCCACATGAAAATGCCCAGGTGCACAACTCCACATGCTGATCAACATTCCTGTAAGGTTTCATGACTCTAGGTCAATTACTTATTGAGTTACGTGTGACACAAAAAGGGAACGGATGGACGGACAAGGGTAAATCTAAATGCACCCCCCCCCCCTATAGTGGGGGCACAAAAAGGATTACTGTAGTGATCAAAAGTGAAAACTACCAACGCCACCACCACATCTTTGACTCACTTTTATAGTCAGTTCATGAGAGCTAATGGAAAGAGCAAAATCTCTTAAGCTCCCAGCACAGACTTAAACTGTATTAGGTCCTCAACACTAAAATTATTAGTATCAATAATCCTGAAAGACTAGAAAATATTGCAAACTTAAGATGAAATACCTTTAACTTGAAAAAGAGAATAAAATCTATATGTATATCGTTTACTCCTAATATACCTGAATTATAGTATCGCCACTAAGAATGTTGCTACCTTTGGCACGGTCTAATACACAGTCGCCATGTAACACTGGAATAAACCCGTTCTTTATCAAATCCGTTACAGATTCTATATCACGCTTCACAACTTCACCATTTTCTGTCACCCAGCCTCCACATACCTGTAAATATATATAACAAAGAAGAAAATTTGTGTCTTGAGGTAGAAGTTTTCATTACAAACCTTTTTTATGCACAGGTATTCAAACTCATTTATCAATGTTACAGCATTGCAGCTTATAAGTTTTATGTCTGCCCACTAAGCTCAATAGGGAGAGCATTGGACTTGTATTGCAGGGGTCACTTGTTTGGTACTTGTGCTAGGCGTAGTTACTCCAAGACCTCGGACATGGAGTCTATAAGTCATTTGCTTCTCAACACTGAATCAAAATCATGTTGAGATTAAAAGTAACTACATGAATACTCACTGGCTAGTTATCCAGGAGACAGTGGATGAACCGACCACCAAGATATGACTAAACAAATGAGTTAAAATCCGCATTCAAAACAAACAGACTTCTAAAGTTCATGTACATGTCTTACAACCCTAACAAAAACATGCAGTTGATATAATGACATTCACAATCTTCAACTTTTTCAGATTTGTAACTCCTGAGTTTTCTATTAAATGCATTTTTAAGTGCTGAACATATACATGTACAAGAGAATGAAGTACATGTATTAACCCCTTCACCTGCAAAAGTTATCAGCCATTGCCAACCAGTATAGAGCCAGGCCAGCTTGCACTTCCATGCAGTCTGACCTGAGGTTCTATACTGTTGGCAGCTCAATTTTTGTATTTTGATATTAAAATCCCTTGAATTTTGAATGGACTGTCTAAAATGACAGGTCCATTATAGAAATATAGCAGTTTAAGGGTAAAAATTCCATTTCCAGGATGTAGCTACCTGGCTCAAAATTTTCTGAGAGCCTCGACAATCTAGTAAGTCCCTGGGCTATTCCCTTGGGTTGGAGGGACAGGAACAACTTGCTGGCGAATAACTAACTTGATAACAATCATCATATCTTTTACTTACTGATAAGCCTACAGCAGGAATATTATGTTTCAGCAAACTATTGACCACATGGTGATTTAACTGTAAAGATAAAAGCTATTTCTATAAATTTTAATGACATAAATTATGTACTTGAATAAGCAAAATACAACAAAATCCAAAAAATATGGCAAAATCTGTTTGAAAGATAGCTGGTTTTGATGACAGAGAGACAAATCAATCCCAAGCTTCTTTCACGTTTTGACCAAATGGAATAACTGTATAAGTGCTTAAGTAGAGACGCCGAAATATTGGCCAATTTCTAGTGCAAATATCAACCAACCTTTCATTAAATTCTACCCTTGCACGAATCGCTAATATCTTCACACGAAATGTCTAGAATTTTTAAATTTTTGACATATGTGAATATCTACTTATACAGCAATTACATAGCAGGGCATTTACCTATCTTTGTATCTTTGTGGAAATTATTTGAATAAATTTACAACAGCCATGTCTATAGAAAACATACATACATCTATTATTCAATAAAAATCTATAAACAATTTTTTAAATAATTTAACATAAATTAACATACCATAGTAACAGATTTCCTTGTGAGACAGAAACCTGTCTTAACAAGCTCTATATCATTCCCATCCTTTATATGATGCCAGCCAGAGTTGACCTTGAATTCTTTAGCTTGGTGATGGCCAAATGACCTATACTTACAATAATAGTGAAACATGTTTCAGACATGATTGCCTAAATCTAACTACAATGTATAATATTATACAAATGAGCATATGCCATATTATATTTTCAAATTTATTTTACAATTAAGTGAGGTGTATAAACATTCTTGCAAAAATGCAATATTAAGGTGTACATGGCTAAATTATACCATAATGCATTGTTTGTTTGTTTGTTTTGGGTTTTACGTCACATCGACACAGTATAGGTCATAATGCATTGTATATGTAGCAATAAATTACAGCACCAATAAGGCAGGGTAATTTGCAACCTGAAAAAATGAGTCCATTTCTATATATATACTAGGGGTTATCCAAAAATTCGTGGACTTTCTTTTTTGCCTAAAATATATTTAAGATATTAATTTGAAATTCTTACACTGCTTAGAAGAATTAATAACAAATAAACACATAAAAATTCATGTGAGTAGCTTTTTACATTCCAACAATATTTAATTTTACATAAACACATGTCAACGACAGCGGCGCACTCAAAAAAATTATTGACGTCAACGTCATAATATTAACGTACAACTTGTGCTTCAACATTGCGCAGTCAATGACTGTTACTGCTTCTCAATGTAATGTCCATCACTAAATTTCTTATGCCACTTTAACACTAATGATTGTGAAATTTTCTTTTCTCTGTTCGTCTGCTGATTTTTATAAAATGTTTTATAGGTGTCATCCCCAAATTACAACAAAAATTTATTATTGTTATATGATCTTGCGATTTTCTAATTACCGCGTGTCCGTCATTTTCCCGTTGTAAACAATAAAGGCGTCTGGCGTTTCTAGCGATATCAACAAAAATAAACGGAAATGACGTAAACATGCGATGTTCAGCAGGTTTTCTACATTATTTTTTTAGTTTTGTTTTAGCAAAAATATATGATGACTTACTGCGTTTTTCTACCGTGCGCCGGGTGCCGTGTATGTGCTTATTTAAAAGCAATATAAAATCATTATTTATGGACACAATTGACTGTTTCTTTCAAAATGTGTTGATAATATTCTACAATGTATGCTGATAAAATTTCATGACAATACACGTTGATGTTCAAGAGATATTTAACAAGAGGGCCATGATGGCCCTGAGGTCGCTCACCTGTATATAGGCCCCCCCCCAACCCCCCAAAGGTTGCAGGGCCAATTTAACCCAAGGGCTTTTATTTGCACAAAGTTGATAGACACCCATAAGAAGATGTTTCATGCTAAACATCTAAGCTTTAGCTCATTGGGCTTTTTAAAAGAAGATTTTTTTTTAAGTTTTTACTATACACATATAGTTAAAAACAATGACACCCCTGGGGCTGGGCCAGTTTTGACCCCAGGGCTTTTATTTGAACAAACTTTGTAGACACTTACTAGAAGATATTTCATGCTTAATATCTTAACTCTAGCTATTTGGGTTTTTTCAAAGAAGATTTTTTAAGTTTTTGCTATACACATATTAGGAAAATCAATGACCCCCCGGGGCTGGGCCAATTTTGACCCCAGGGCTTTTATTTGAACAAACTTGGTAGACACTTATAAGAACATGTTTCATGCTAAATATCTTAGCTCTAACTCTTTTGGTTCTTTAAAAGAAGATTTTTTAAGTTTTTACTATATGCATATAGGGAAAATCAATGACCCCCTGGGGCGGGGCCAATTTTGACCCCAGGGCTTTTATTTGAACAAACTTGGTAGACACCTATTAGAACATGTTTGATGCTCAATATCTTAGCCATAGCTCTTTGAGTTCTTTAAAAGAAGATTTTTTAAGTTTTTACTCTATGTATATTGGGAAAATCAATGACCCCCTGGCGCTGGGCCAATTTTGATCCCAGAGCTTTTATTTGAACAAACTTGGTAGACACTTATTAGAACATGTTTCATGATAAATATCTTAGCTCTAACTCTTTTGGTTCTTTAAAAGAAGATTTTTTAAGTTTTTACTATAATATGCATAAAGGGAAAATCAATGACCCCCTGGGGCGGGGCCAATTTTGACCCCAGGGCTTTTATTTGAACCAACTTGGTACACACCCATTAGAACATGTTTCATGCTAAATATCTTAGCTCTAGCTCTTTGGGTTCTTTAAAAGAAGATTTTTTAAGTTTTTACTATATGCATATAGGGAAAATCAATGACCCCCCGGGGCGGGGCCAATTTTGACCCCAGGGCTTTTATTTGAACAAACTTGGTAGACACTCACTAGAAGATGTTTCATGCCAAATATCTAAGCTCTAGCTCTTATGGTTTTTTAAAAGAAGATATTTAAAGTTTTTTCTTTCGGTTGCCATGGCAACCAGAGTTCTGCATGGAATTAAATTCTTTGAACAATTTTTAAAGGTGACCACCAAAGGAACATTCCTGTGAAGTTTGGATGAAATTGGCTTAGTGGTTTATGAGGAGATGTCATTTAAAGTAAAAGTTTACCGACGGACGACGGACGGACGACGACGGACGGACGATGGACGGACGCCAGACGAAAAGCGATCACAAAAGCTCACCCTGTCACTTTGTGACAGGTGAGCTAAAAAGTCCACGAACTTTTAAATAACCCCTCGTATATATAGGACAATTGAGTAAGTCTGATCTTATGTAAGGGGAACTTATACTTACATTTACAAGAATAAGAGTATTCTCAATACTATCATAGCATTACAATGCTGAACATATTGTATAACATAGGTTTACAAATTTTAATCTTAAGATTCATTGTACCAGAACAAAACAAGTTTATATAATTATATTAGATTTGAGAGCTTAATTCTCAATCAAAATTATTCTTTTGTTTTGTTAAAATAGATGATTTAAGAAGACAGTAATGCTATCATCTATTCTCAGTGCTTGACAGATAGTAAAGGAGCATAACTCTGTAAAATAGCAAGTCTGAGTTATAGAACATGTGCGCCATCATGCAAGGATAATCACAGATAATAAATGTGTGAAGTTTCAGTCCATTCACTTTTAAATATTACACAGTAGTTTTGGAAATACC